CCCCAAAACCCCAAAACCCCAAAACCCCAAAACCCCAAAAATGGTCGTGATAATTGAAACTTTATTTATACAGATTTTATAGACAGGGATCCCATCTTCTTGAAGGTGTAATCCATTCTACGGATCACAGACATTCTTTGGTCAACTTTAGTGTTGAAGAAATCGTTGATGTTATAAAAATAAGCTAGGTCAGTTCATTTCCGTACAAATTCTGAGTCTCTATATTCTTGTTTAAAAGGCTGGTTTATGTCTCTATAAATCACTGGAACGTATTGGTAAAGATCGATGTATCTTGTGTCCATCAGTAGATCGTAGGTGAAGTTATTGAAAATAGTCTTATCATCAACGATTTCATTTTGCATTGAGGATAAATTTTTAAAACTCTTGAGTCTTTTCGACCTGCTTAATTTATACTTCTTCAGAATATTATCATTAAGTTTAGAGTAGTCAAGAATGCTCCTGTTGTGTTCTTCTTCTAACACGAGGGTTTTAAGATCGTGCTGGTCCAAACTGTCGTAGTAGGTGAAAAGATCTTCTACACTACGTAAGTACTGGTTCATAGTGTCTGTCTTTATGAGTGAACTAACAGAAGAGTATATTGAGTGAAATATCATATAAGCTAAAAGTATAAAGAAAACCATTAGCAATGGAAAACTCTGATCTATCTCTATTGTCCCATAGGTATGATTTGTAATCACAATATCACTCCGCTTTGACTTTGCAGTCACTTCATCGTAGAAAATCTGCTTGTTCGTAAGGAACCAATAGCCAGCAAATCAGTAGAGGATTACTGCCCACTTACAAGTCTTGATTGCATTCTTGTTAAGTCTGTCATTAAGCATGGATGATTTCTTGTACCAATAAACTGTCTTGATCTTTTCAAATGCATATGTTATAATAGCAGAGATTAAAGTCAAGGGGAACAGTAAAGGAAGTCCAACTCCAAAATACATGTTTATCCAGATTATCACCATTATATAAGAATAACCGTCAAAGATGTCATTTGTGGGTCCGGACATTTTGTTTATGTACTGTCCCATTGACTTTCATTTAGTCGAATAAATATTTTGGGTCCATCCTTTGTCAAGTCTTTTCTTGATTATGTAGATGAGATAGAGTATCCCAAATTCAATGAAAGGAACAAAAATGTTGATATACATTGGAGTGATGAAGAAATTTGAAAGCTCATTAAACCATCTGTTTGTAAAATCTGGGTATCTTCCATCAAGGAAAAAGATCCTAATTCCAAGTAGCTCATCTCAGTTAATCCCCACGAGCATCAAGGAGAGTCCATTGTTGAGATATTGGGATACAAAGAGGATAACTTGGATAGTAGCTGATTCTATATTCATACTTCTGAAGTTAACCCATCTTATTAAAATCACTACGATATTTCGAAGGATTATATCTGCGAATCAGATGAAGAGAGTAATGATGATATCCAAGAAGGTAACTAAGGTCTTTCCTGATTGCCAGTCGTATCAAATATGCCCTCCTACAAATACATCTTCCTTATTAATAGTGTAATGCTGGGATTTCATGGTTGCTAAGACTCCGTGCTTTAAAGAATGCTGGTTTCAGAATCAGCTAAGTGTTCCAGTACTTGAGGTAAGATCTTTGCTGTGAAGAGTTTCTTTCAGATATACCCATTCTAGCACTCCATAATGTTCAAGAGAGTCTCCATAGGTCTTCACGATGGAATCTCAATCGATATATGGGTAGACGTTCATGTAGTCATAAATTTCTTTTTGAGCATAGAATAGGAAGACAAAAGAAGCGAATAGAATCAAGAATACAACCATAAGAGATATAATTATTTTCCAGGCTTTCTCACTCTGAGGCACATATTGGTTTTCCCATAAGATCGAGGATGGCTCTAATGCTGGTTTGAAGTACAAAGGATGCCCCTGCCAGTGCTTTTTGTAGTAACTCTTGTTTCCGATCCGGACTTTGTTCAACTCTGTTGCCCTCAAATAAGACTCTTCATTTGCAAAAGTGATAAAGGCTCAAACAGGGGTAGTGTATATTTCATAATCCTTCTTGATAAGAGTGAGGATCTCATTTTGGATCAAAACTTTCATTTCATGATTATTATCTAGAATAGCTTTGCCTCTTTCACCTAACAAGTGAAGGACCTCCCTGTTCTTAAAGGAGAAATGAATGTCAGCAATCTCTATATCCTTAGTCTTACTGAAGTAATCTTCAAGATTTCCCTTGGAGCCTTTCCTGCTGATGAACTCAGTCCGCTTATTTATTAAGCTTAAGCTTTTCACTTCTGGTGCTGGTTGATCGTTTCACGGTGGCCTTTTTAGTCATGATTGGGGCTTCCTTAGGTGTTGGGTTGTGACTTTCATCCTGTTTCATCTTCACTTCAACTTCTACAAATCTGTGGTTGCCGATTTCAGAAAGATTTTCACGTCGTCTGTTATCTAAACCGAAGAAGTCGTTATCTTGAGCGTCCTGGTTAACTTTTATGTCTTTGTTAAATTCACCATGAATGAAGGAAGGATGGTCCTTCTCACCAGTGCTGAAAACAGGACGAGAGCCTTCAGGGTCATCATCGCTGAGCTGCCTTACGATCCCATCAATAAGGAACCCTTTGAATGCCATTATAGGCGCAAGCGTCTTTTTCCGTGTTCTTTGCATATTGTCATTTAACTGTGGGTATATATTTTGCCTAAAGTTCTCATATAAAGCAGGAGGTATTTTATAAATTGCTGTAAAATCCGATGTTGTGGTGGTGATCTGATCGTACTCTTCTAGCTTGGACTCTGCATAGCTATCAATAAACTCAAAACCAATGAAGTACAACAATGCTGAGATTATAGTGGTCCAGATAAGGATAAATTGGATTGATTTTCGAGCCTCTATTTCTTCTTCATCTAAAGCTTTGCAAAATACTTGGGTATAAAACCGAGCCTCTGTTCCTGTTCAAACTGGATTTTGATCGATAGTTTGGTTCACATAAGAGCTCACATCCAACGTGCAGAGCTTTTTATCCAAGCATTCATGGTTGATAATTTCAGTTAGTTCATCTTCATTTAGAACTGAACTTCAGACTTCAGTTTCTTCTGTTGGAAGGCAAGCATCGAGTGTTTTTGAGTTCTCTGGGATAATCCCAAAGGAGACTACATCTTTTATGACTCCTGTGGATCAACTAAGGGTTAACTTGCCAACTCCAAGGTGGACGTCTCTACATAATGCATGAGAGTATCCCAGATTTCCCATAGATAATTTGTTCATCCATCCAATATTCTCATCTTGAACCTCTCTGAAGTTCCAATAAAAGTAAAATGAGGGTAGAGAAAGAAGCGTTAGAGCTGTAAATATCAGTATAATGAATTCTAAAAAGTTAAAATAAGCCACGAAGCCATAGCCAAGAGTCAAGAATCCTTTCTTAGCCTTCATTTTCTGTGTCCTGATCTTGTTATATCTTTCTTTCTCTTTATTTGCTTTGCCTATATCCATCGCTGCGCTCATCTTCAGATGAAAGGAAGGAATCTATTTTGCCATCTTTCCTTCGCTCTTCCCTCCTCTTCTTGAATCACCATAAAAAGGGGAATATGTCTCTCATTCCCATGCCAGAGTAATAGAGAGGATGTCTCTCTACAAGTCTCGCATTGGCCTCATCAATTTCGTCGTTACTAAGTTTCATTTTTAAAACCTTCAAATTGTATCGGCTTATATGGGGTTTTGGGGTTTTGGGGTTTTGGGGTTTTGGGG